GCAACTGTGTTGGCTTTGCCAGGATGGTAATGGATCTGTAAATCGTAATCTTTTATAAGTTCCAACCACCGTCGCTGCCGCATATTCAGCTCTTTTTGCGTGAAAAGGTACTTGAGACTCTTGTGGTCAGTATATACTTCACAGGTAGTGCCGTACAAATAGTGTCTCCATATTTTCAAAGCAAAGATTACCGCTGCTAGCTCCAGATCATGCGTGGGATAATTCTTCTCATGGGGTTTCAATTGGCGAGAGGCATAAGCGATAACTCTCCCTCGTTGCATAAGTACACAACCAAGGCCTTTATGAGAGGCATCACTATAAATTACAAACCCTTCGGTCCCAGAAGGTAAGGCCAATACTGGTGCTGTAGTCAACTTTGTCTTCAATTCTCGGAAAGCAGCTTCCCGTTCTTCTGTCCATTCAAATACAACTCCTTTTTGTGTCAGTTGTGTAAGCGGCACAGCAATTTTCGAAAAATCATGAACAAACCGTCTGTAATAGCCGGCTAACCCTATAAAACTACACACTTCAGTCACATTAGTGGGAGTTGGCCAATTCACGATTGCCTCAATCTTGTGTGGGTCGACAGAAACTCCTTCCTTAGTGATAACATGCCCCAGAAATGCCACCTCCAGTAGCCAAAATTCACATTTCTTCAGCTTCGCATACAGTTTCTTTTCCCAGAGGGTTTGAAGGATCAACCGAAGATGATTCTCATGAGCTTCTACAGTCTTTGAATATATGAGAATATCGTCAATAAAAACCACCACAAATTCATCCAAGTAAGGCTTAAAGACGCGATTCATCAAATCCATAAAGGCTGCTGGGGCGTTAGTAACTCCAAAGGGCATAACCAGAAATTCATAATGACCATAGCGAGTTCGAAAGGCTGTCTTCTCAATATCATCAGCCTTGACCTTTAATTGATGGTAGCCGGACCGTAGATCAATCTTAGAAAAGACTTGTGCTCCTTGATGCTGGTCAAATAAATCATCAATTCTTGGCAAAGGATATTTATTCTTGATTGTTACCTTATTAAGTTCCTTGTAATCGATACAAAGCTGGAGTGTTCCATCCTTCTTTTTCACAAACAGAACTGGTGCACCCCACGGAGACACACTCGGGCGGATAAATCCCTTGTCCAGCAAATCTTGCAACTGAATTTTCAATTCCTTCATCTCAACTGCTGACATTCTATACGGAGTCTTAGAAATGGGTTGAGTCCCTGGTACTACTTCAATTGTAAACTCTATTTCCCGGTCTATTGACTGCCCTGGTAATTCTTTTGGAAAGACATTCGGAAATTCACAAATAACCGGAATTATATAAGTACCCCCATTCACCACTTGCTCTTCCACCACACTACACAAATACCCTTGGCACCCTTTCTGAATTAACTTACAAGCCTTTACTGTAGAAATCAAATACGGTGGAGAAGTCACCTCCTGTCCCTGAAATATAAATTCTGCTTGACCCGAAGGATGGAAACTCACTTGCTTAGTCAAACAGTTTATAGTTGCACTATGTTCACTCAACCAGTCCATCCCCAGTACAATATCAAAATACATCATATCGAGAGGTATTAAGTTAGCGTATACCCGAATCTCCCCAAGGTGGAGTTCACAAGCAGCATATATAGAAGTACAAATCATAGAATCCCCCAACGGTGAAGACACACATAGCATATATGATAACTAGCGTATGCCCGTGCCTGAAGGCACGGTGTAAATAATGTTAGAATTATAATATAATTGTAATCGTAACACTATTTAAATTTAAAATTAAAATGCAATTATAAAAATATATTTAATAGAGAAATACAGTGTCAAAACTAAGTCACTCTCTCACTTTGTTTTTCTATTTCTCTCTTTAAATTGAAAAACACCCAACACCAATGAGAGGATGTCAAAACACTGTACAGAGAGAGCGAAGGAGAGAGAGCCGATGTCAAAACACCCACCCAAACCATTAAGATCTCAATGTATAAGCTAAAGAGAAATACAGTTTCAAAACTAACTCACTCTCTCACTCTGTTTTTCTATCTCTCTTCAAATTGAAGAACACCCAAGACCAATGAGAGGATGTCAAAACACTGTATGGAGAGAGTGAGGGAGAGAGTGTCGATGTCAAAACACCCAAACCATTAAGATCTGTGTATAAGCTAAAGAGAAATAGTAAACAAAGGGAAGGATGTTTTCGAAAATGGTAATAGTGGTTTTTTGCAGCAGTGATATAAAATATCCAGTGCAAGAGGAATCACTAAATTCTTGAAAACAACTCCAAAAAGACAGTCTAATTTTAACTCAAACTTGCTGGATTTGTAATAGCGAGAGATTCATGCCATGCTTCACACTTGACTATGAATTGGAATTTCTAATTGTTCCAACTTAGCAAGGTTGTTTAGGAGTTTGCTAAACTATTGAAAGGGAAAGGGAGTTTTTCATGCCACAGTCAGGACAATAAAGTTACAATACTGACTCTTTACTTTCTCAAATTTGACTCTATAAAGTATGTACCAGAGTAAGACCAAGGATTGGGCCAGTAGATGAGGTGCTCCCTTGCCAGAGGTGATGGTTGGGTTCGAGTCTTACCTGTTGTGTGATGCAACTTCCTAGGATAATATTTACATTATGTAATGGTTATTATAGCATTTTTTGTCAAATTTTTAACAAAAATTATTTTTAAGATTCAATTAAAAAAAAACTTAAAATCTAAAAAATTAAATAAAAAGATGATTAAACATAAATGAGTATAGTATAATTTATCAAAATATTTTTTTGTTGTTTACTATTTAATTGGCAAAAATGGATGGTCATAATTCAATGGTCAAAAAAGGTTCCTTCCTCATTTATCTGATATCCTTCTATATATTTTTTTCCACAATCCATGTTCTATTTCCATGATCCATACTTCCCATACCAATTCCATTGACAATTGGATCACCCATTGTTTTCAAAATAATAACATCATTATTGTGTAACTTACATTTTATTAATTTTAAATTTATATTATACACTAAAATTTTGAAATATTTTCCAGGTTAAAAATTCTAGATTTATACCATTTCCATTACCAAAAAATTATTACTAATTTAGAAGAGAATTATTCTTGAAAACAATATTCTGCACCAATTTGGCAAGCAGTAAGGTTTCCTTATCCAATATTTTTTTAAGGGTTAATTTTTTTACATTTAATTTGGATTTTTTTGTTGGTGATTTTTTTTTAAATTATATAAAATATTTTTACATTTTAAAACATGACTGCCAACCCTAATAGTTTTTAAGAATATTGAACTTAAACTTCCTTTATAAAACTTGGCAAAACAAAAAAAAATTCCTTTATAAAAGTTTGTTAATATTTTATAAAAAGAGAATGAAGTATTGACATGTAACATTTACATAAAAAACCAAAATTCCGTCTATCTAATCCGTCTATCTAAATACACAATTGAGTCATGACTGTTAAAATGTCCTAGTAGGACAATTGTCTCTAGGATAAATTCAAAAACCTTTCTTCCTTATTATATAGATTTACAGAGTTATATATGTTCTTTTACTGGTCATGATGACAATCAAATTGCATGAAGGCCAAATGATGCTAGGGCCAGGAAATATCATTCTACTAACAACAACATCAAAGCAAAAAGATCATAAACTCACATGGCCTTTGGATTGGATACATCCAAGAAGTCTTTTGTATGGGGTTGCAGTTTAACAAATGTCCCTTTTGGGAGAGTCATATTTTTCACTCACACAATGTCTCCTTCTTGTAAGAGCAGATTCTCCATCATCTACAATGAAGCAATACGTAGGGTGCATCAATGGAGAATAAATGCAAACAAAGACTCCTCAATGACACTGGTACACAGCAAAATACACCAAAACCACAAAACTTGTATACAAAAACACTACTGGTTGCCTACCCAGTAAAGCATATATATCATGCCTTCTTCTGCAATGAACTCAAGAACGCCACAATGAGAAATGCGCTCAGTAGCAGCATTGCGAAGTTCAAACAACATAGGATAATCAATATGAAGAGATGCTGCAGAATAGTCTTATATTAGCATTTTAGATGATAATAGGAAAAAAATTTGAATTAACCACAAAAGATAATAAGCCACCATAAAAAATTTCAAATAAATCAACTAATCAAGACGGTCAAGGGCTGATGGAGGCATTATAATTGCAACAACATAGTGAAAAGATAAATAAATAAATAAATAAAAAAAAAATTAAGACATTTAGAAGGCTAATACATGCACACACAAGTGTTTAGAGTTTGATAACTTACTTTTATCACCATTTTCAATCTGTGGCTGCAGGATTGAAAAGAAACAAATAAATTAGAAATTCGAATATGAATATGTAAAAGACAACATACAATTACAGTCTTTTTCCCCCTTTCCACTGTTTTCCTTTTATATTTTTTATTTTCCATCTCCTTTTCTTTTTTCTTTTTTTTTGGGATGTGGGTGGACACAAAAATGAGTAAAGAAAGACATGAAGGCCTTCAAGGGAAATGAAAGAGCGCATATGGTATCATCTTAATTGTTAATTTTCCAGAATTCATTAACATTTACAATTGATTAAAGAGTGCCATGAATTTGGTTGAGGTCATAGAACTGCAACACAAAATAGGCTACATATATATGGTTGGTAATTTCTGTAAGACAAAATCTAAGTCATTTGTAATGTATTTTGGGCTGGTTGTATGGTTAGTAGGGCAGTTGCAGATGTTTGAAGAAGTGTTTGTAGTCTAAGTCTTGTGGGTGGACACGAAAATGAGTAAAGAAAGACATGAAGGCCTTCAAGGGAAATGAAAGAGCGCATATGGTATCATCTTAATTGTTTATTTTCCAGAATTCATTTACATTTACAATTGATTAAAGAGTGCCATGAATTTGGTTGAGGTCATAGAACTGTAACAGTATAATGAATAAAATCAAATCAAAACAAAACAAAACAAAACAATTATCATGTTGAGGAAAGCTTTCCAACCTTATCAATAAAAAATGCAGGGTAACATCGATATGTTTGCTCAAATGATGTTCCATGATATCCATATCCATCAAAATACTGCAATGTGTCCCCACCAATGAATGAAATGACAGTGATAATGATATAAACAACAACTACAATAATATAGTAATTGTAATAGTTATTAAGTCAGTGTTATTTTTATTTTTATTACAACATCTAATGAAATGAATTTAGACGGTGAACATAATTAAACAATATCTATATATATTGAAATAACTAAATAAGCACTGATTTGGGCTGCAAAATATAGTAATTAAAAGTGAAGCAATGAATATAATTCAAACATGTCCATAAACAAATAGTTATCAAATGGAAATTTACAGTAAGGGAAATGTAATACATATAGAAGTTGTATACAGATTGTGCAAAAATCATAAAAGCATTAAACACAAAAGGACAGTTCTCTTTTTCGTGCCAATCACAGTGGTTCCCCTCAGAGACCTGATAGACCTATTTTTACCCGTGGCCTTCCAGTACCCAGCCAGAGTCGCTCTGTTCAGTCGCTGCCCATTCTGATACTTGCGATCTTTAGGACAGAAAAAGAACCACTCTTCATCGGTCGTCTTTATTGCCGATTTATCTGCATATAAATAGATCAAAGCAAACCCAAAATTAGGGCTTTTTAATCAAGTATATATCAATAGTCAAAGCAAAAAAGCCAAAATTTTAATTTTTTTAATTTCTTATGTGGGTAGTTTTACCAGGCAAATCCCAGGGTTCACATTTGCAGACATCGATCTCTCGAATAACACTGACTTGCTTCTCATCGCCGTTGATCTTCAACTTCAGATAGTGATTGATGAGTTCTTCGTCAGTAGGGCGAAATCGGTACCCACCCGGAAGAGACTCCTCCGCCAAAATTTTAGAGAGAGACATCGCTAGAGAGAGAAGATCAAAAAGAAAGGAAAAGTGGGTATGGATCGAAATGAGGAATTAAAAACCTAGAGAGGAATAGATAAACAAATCGAAAGAGAAGATGTATGAGATTCAAAGAAAATTCAGTGGGGTTTCAAAGACATGGGGTTCGATCTAGGAGGGAGAAAAGATGAAGAGTTGCTGTCGGTGGAGTTCGGAGGCGGCGCAATGATGGAAGCGGAGCGGCAGTGGAAAGGAGGGGGAGGGAGAGGAAGAGGGAGAGGAAGAGAGAGAGAGAAGAAGAGGGGAAGAGGAGCAGGTGGTGGTCGTCGTAGCTCCCCGCCGTCGTCGTAGCTCCGGCCCGCCGTCATCTGCAGAGAGAGCGAGAGAGGGATTGTTTTGGGCGGGAATGTGAAAATGTCACAAAGCATCTCAGCCTTTAAAGAATAAAAACAAATCATCTCAGCCATTGGATCAAAATGTATCTCACATATATTTTTATACATTTTCAAAAACCTTTCTCCCTTATTATATAGATACTTCCTCAAATGTATTTAACTTAGGAGCAAATAGTTTTGACACAAAAGAATGGGTAGAACCAGAATCAAACAATACACAAGCAGAATGACCATGAACCATAAATGTACCTGACACCACTGTCGCCGCCTTTTGTACATCTCCCGGAACCAACGCAAATACCCTACCTTGTCTCGCGGTGTCTTTGTTGTTAGTAGCTTTGACTGGTGCCTTGGTATTGCTAGTTGGTGCAAACCCCACTAAACTGGTAGCAGCCCTATTGCTATGTTGTTGCTGCTTTCTTTGAGGGTAATCCCTTATCACATGACCCGTCTTTTCACACTGAAAGCAGGCTCCAGACTTTCGATAACATATCCTGCGGTGTTTCTTCCCACACTCCACACATACAGGAATTGAATCTTGATTAGGGGTAGAAACATTTGAAGCCCCTGAATTTTGTTTCTTATTTGGTGGAGTAGTTGCCCCCTTCGACCATTGATTATTTTTCCTTTTCCCCTTCCATTCAGAAATTCGGTTTTGTGCGGTAATATTCCCTTCTGCTATAACGACCCTCTCCAACACTTTTACATAGGTAGGCAGCTTCAACATATTAACTCAGTCCAAAATAGCACCCCGTAATCCCCCTTCGAATTTTCGTGCCTTCTTACAGTTTGTGTCCACCATGTGAGGTGCGAACAGGGCCAACTCGGCAAATTGGGCTTCATACTCAGCAACAGTCTTGTTCCCTTGCCTAAGGGTTTCGAATTTAGTCACCTTTTTATCTCGCATACTTTGTGGAAAATATTTATCGTAGAATATCTCCAAGAACTTGTCCCATGTCAATCCTTGATGTATAGTTCTCGTAAGCATCCACCACCTCCGCGCCTCATCCTCGAAAGTGAATGCAGCCAATTGCACCTTCTGAGCTTCGATACATGGAAAGACTTCAAATAACTTCTCTATTCCCAATACCCATGCTTCAGCTTTCATTGGTTCTATTCCTCCTTTAAAGGACGACGGTTTCATCTTTTTAAACTCTTTGATAAGGGTAATAGTTCGATCTTCAGCCTGGAAATCTTGCGCTGCCGGTGGAGGCACCGGTGGTGCTGGCAGTTGCTGTTGTGGCTGTTGCTGCTATTGTGGCTGCTGCTGTTGTTGTCGTAAGGTCTCCGCCATTTCCATAATCATTCTCTCCATTCTATCCAGCCGTGCAGTAGTAGCATCTTCGGTATCTTCTGTCCTTGTTCTCATCATTGCCTGCACAACAAGCATTTATATACAATAGACATATTCAAAATTGTTAGCCTTATCAAAGTACTCATAACGTTGCCATCGAACTTTCATATACTTTCAGGATGTTATGCAAGATGCCTAAAACTTTTCTAGACACCCTAGAGCTTAATGGATCCATGTGTGAGATAGAAACTCACGCTCTAATACCACTTGTCACGCCCTTAAACCCGCCCCTAAAAGTTTGGGCATGACCCATACGAAAACGGACATATACTCTAGTATTCCTAGCATACAGAAGCACTAAAAATTAAAATAATATAACAAACTCCATTGAGCTACATCTAACATGCCAGGATCACATGCATCATGGATATTATAACATATAGTTACAAGCTAAAATTATACTTCATGCATCAGTTACGTACATACATACACAGTCCCAACCCTATAAACAAAAACATTAAAGTCATGTACATTCAACCCAAAGGAGTAATCAAATACAAGTCATCATCTTAGTAAGGCTTCATAAAAAGTGCTCTCGTCTAGTGCTCGAGCTCACATAGGTTGACAAAAAGATACGGACGTCCTGGGTTAGGGCTGACCTCCTGGTTGGTTACCAACAGAAACAGACATGTCAAAGGGTGAGCCAAGCTCAGTGAATAGTAATACATAACAAGGTGATGCTTAACTTGAACTGTAGTAAAAGAATACATATAGTCTCATAGCTTCCCAACATTTATTGATCCATAAATTGTGTCTACCATGCTTTGGAAAGAAATGAGGATAGAATTATGAACTAAATGCACTTTTCAAATTTTCCTGAAAATGGGTCCCCGCTCGAGTGCCACTTTGGCCACTCGAGCGGACTGTAAAATTTAACAAAAATGCTGGGAGGTCGATTTTTACGCTCGAGCGGGAATTTCCCCACTTGAGCGGACAGCGAAATCTCTGAAAAACTGTTGGGAGGTTAATTTCCACGCTTGAGCGGGACTTCCTCCCCCCTCCCCGGCGCTCGAGCGGACCATGCAATTTCTGAAATTTTAACATTTCAATTAAAGTTCCAACCTGGTATCCAAAGCTTCAAACATGTACTTTCGTTTATTACTGCAGCATTCACATAACGAGTCTGAATCTGTACTTATTCATAATGGGCTTAGGTCTTATCTTGGAACATATTGGCTTGGACATAATGTTTTTGGCATAAAGCCCTTGTATAGTGTGGCACAAACTCTTATTCATGGTGGCACGAAGCCCGTAAACATAGTGGCGCAAGGCCCTTGAATAAATTGGCATGGAGCCCTTGAATCATTTGGCATTGAGCCCTTATAAATTGGCATTGAGCCCTTGTAAATTGGCATTGAGCCCTTATAAACTGGCCTTGAGCCCTTGTAAATTGGCATTGAGCCCTTGTAAATTCTTGTATGAACTCAAGAGGTGTCTCACACAGGTTCTAGCGGTGACTCACATTGTAGCACTTAGTCCCGTGTAGCACTTTGTTTCATATCGTAGTTACTTATACCGTATGGCCAAAGGCCCATAATCTTAAAGAATGGAAACACTTCATCTTCCCCATTTCTATATATATATACATTAAATCATAAACATAATTGCGGATCGTATGTGAATAAAATGCTAATGACAATCATTAGCTATACATATGAAGCATATAATGGTACTACTACTCACTGTGGTGTTGAGATGACGTGCTACTTCCTCCCGGAGTGTGTCCTGTACACAAGCAAAACTTGCATATTAGTTCTTCTTTTCCTTGGTACATTAGTTCCCGATTCATTACGCTTCCAGTGAATTATAACTATCTTAAGCTCATCAAAACATCATCTAAACATAGCAGAGGGTCGAGCACACAAAAGAGAACAAATAATTTTTCTTCTTCTCCGCTCGAGCGGTCGTGCCCCTGTTTTGGCAGTTCGAAGTTCAACCAAGAAAAACCAGCAATCCCAACACATTCTACATGCAAAACAAGGAGAAATTAATGCAATACATTGACTTAACCTTACTATACCATGACTTATCATCTCAACCACACAAAGTAAACATGATTAGAAGCTTAATCACTCTTTCAAACTACTTTTGTTCATAAAACCTAACATCTTGCATATATATACTTTCATGGAGTTGGCATAAAACTAAAGATTGAAGTATAATTTCCACATAACACCTAAATTAGGTGACAAAACAACCTATTAATGAGTATAACTTGTTAATCACACCAAAAATACAACTCTCCCTTACAACCCTAGTAATTCCATATAAAATTGACAACCCTTCCTCACAATTGGAAGGAGAACTTCTTACATGATCAAGAGGAAGCTTGTACAAGGTAAATTTAGCATACCTTAAGTTCAAGATTTACACCCTTCACAAGGTTTCTTGACCCTCTTCTTGAAGACCTTCCTTAAAAGCCCTTTTCTTCCCTAATTTCCCTCTCTCACGAGATTTCTTCTTGAATTGAGTATAAGTTCATGTTCAAGCAATATATAATATGTGAACAAGGACAAAATCCAATCGTTTAATCATTCCGAAATTGAAATTTTGTAAACATGCTTAATATTACTTAAAAATTATGTTGATCATAGATATATAATCAATTTCAGATAATTAAACCTTCAAGGCTTTCAATTTCTGAGTCAAAGATTTTAATTGTAACAGATACGTTTCTTGAGGGACAGATAGACTTCCTTAAACATGGATTTCACTTACATAACTTTAATTTTCAAGGGAATTTCACAGTAAACATTTAAATGCCCAAAAACAAGGACTGAAAATATATCATAAAACATGTACGAGGGTCGGGTTATTACATTAAATTTAAAATTAAAATGAAATAATGTAGTTTTAAAACGTTATCTTAATATTGTTTTATTTTAATTTTAAACTTAAATCATTGAATTTTTTCATTCCTTGTACATGTTTTGTTATGATAAAAATTAGATCATTGGAGTTAAAGAATAAATACATAGAGTCTGATTTTGTTAACACAACTGTGTGAATAATACATATTTTTTGATTGGTGTAAAATAATGAAACCTATCATTTTGAGTGAGACCATTGGACCTTTTTGAATATGCACTCCTGCTGTATATGTTCTTCAATTTACTAAAAATTATCAAGTTACCTCTAAGATAGAATTAAGAAATAGGATATAGAAGTGGCTTAATTAGTAGGTCATTCACTTGGTCTCCTAAGACTTATCAAAAACAACTTATTACCAAGGTCTCAATTTTTTAAAATCAAGGGGCTCTAGTTAGTTGGCTAACTCTTTGGCCACCAAATCTTTCCTAAGAGGGATGTCTTAGGTTCCACTCTTAGGAGTGGAATAAGA